TTTTTTTTTCTTTTGTTGTTTTGATATTTTTTTAATTGTTGTTACTTTGTAGAATTAATCATTCCTTAAAAAGACTTTATTTTTTTTTCTCCGAAAAGAAATGGCATAATAGATTATTGAAACAATATGACTTTATCATGATGATAAATAAAACCTACCGGTTAACGTCATTCTACATGTTTTTTCTTTTCGTCTTGAGAACGAGATTCTAACGAAAAATAAAAAGTAAAGTGAATGCTACGTTTTTACGAACCAAACTTGTAAGAGTTGCTGGAAATAGAATCTTATATACGCCGATACATATATAAGTCATTATCTTTAGGTAAAAATGCATTGTTTCATCAACGTTAATCATATACCAACATGAAGCCCATATGTCTATAAATTTTGAGTTTATTCATTATGTTTTCTTGGACGAACTCTTGAGCTCATTGTGCTTTAAACCTAAGAATCAAATCATTTTATCATAATATCAAAAAGAATGAATGTCATTATCATTCGGAATATAATCTTACGCATGATGAATCAACATCACTTTATCTATACAAGATGTATTGAGATAAACCAAGACTTCAAAATAGGATACTTCGAATATAAGATCGTTCAGTTTTGATATCATGGCATGTGAATATTTCCAATTGTTATTGAAATGACTTAATGAACTCTTAGTTCATGTTTATCTTGGCTCAAAGTTGTCAGAAACTTCTTAGATTCCAGTTGTAAATAATTTATAATCGAAACAAAGAACGGAAAAACAAATCAACTAATATCTATTTTCCGGAAGAGAAGAAAATTACTCGTGATATAGACACGCAACTTCGTGTTAACAGCAATGCACTGATTTATTCATCAATAAATCTTGTACATTTACTTGAATTGATTGATGGATGCGAGTGAAGATGAAATGATAGTCTTATTGACAGATATTAATGTCATGCAATCAAATAAAAGTCCAACTGATTTGTCAATTGTTATAAGAAATGAAATATTTAATTATGATTAGTAGTTTCCACGATATTAATAGTCAATAGTAAGTAATAACTTTTTAACATTCAACTTCTACACATATTATAATCAAGATAGATGTAATAATTACTCCAAGGACTAAATTTATTTGGTGTCAATCAAAATGTGAGAAGTTGTACATATTATTCAGACATGAGAGTAGAAAATATGAAAAGAATTACGTTAAAGATACAGTACAATATGCCAATAGAAATGAATATACCAGTGATTAGACCATTGAAAAGGAAGAATGTCAAGGTATTTACAAATAAAAACATTGACGACCGATATGAGACCACTCGTTTACAAATGTCTCGTTATTATCTCTTGTGACAATGAGTAGGCAATAAAACGTAGACAATGTAATGATAAAACAACTACTGAGACAGTACAAGGATAACGAGAATAACGGACAAGAGAAAATGTATTATGTACATAGTCGAGTTGAAAAAGTTATATGATCGAATCGTTACTTTATTCATTGATTTCAAAATAGTCTTGATTGTAAACACTGCCTATGTGTATTTTATTTTTGTTAATGTAAGCTGATTATTTCAACAATAAAAACCAAGGAAGATCTTTTTAGATTTTAAGAAATTATAGTTTTGAACAGAACATAAATGAAAACTAAGTCATAATAATGAAGTTCTAGTAAAAAACTAGTTTACGTATTACACATGGAAGAAGTAAGGTTATGAGATCGTATGTCTAAAAATAGTCCGAGTTATTGCTAAAATTGTATTGTTTATATTTTATCAAATCATTCTCTGTATGAAATATTGAAACTGTTGGAACACAGATGTTCATCAAAAAAATGATTTATTGAATTAAACAATGAATAGATCAATGGAAATATTTTCTTCTAATGATGAACAGGATTAAATCACTATATTTTCAATGTATATGATAGAACTATAACATATTATATATAGTAGAAAGTTTTGAGAATTGTAAATATAACTTAACAATGTTTGCAATTATAGCATACATGACTAGAAAGTGACTGATTTTATATAAACAAGTTTCTATGAAAGTTTAAAATTATCTTGAGTATCTTGTTTTCAATAAATAATGTTGTTTTCAGAACAAATATACTCTCGCTATCATTTCCTTTTTTTCAATAAGCTTGTGTTGAACTATATATATAGTAAATGATGAATATTATATGCAAAGCACTATATAGACATGATAAAATGATCTACTAATTTTTATTACCAAAATATTATCTACTGTTAAGAAATGTATTATATTATAGCTTGATGTTGCAATGATACTTATACTAACATCATTCATAACGAAATCTAATGTAAAAGAATCTAAGTTTATTAGATAGTTGATTCGAAACTTTTAATATGAATGTTTTTTTCATATCATTTTTTTGTCATTAATAGTATCAAATACTAATTTATCAAATTGTTTACTTTTTAGTCATTGAATACTGAAGCTAACGCAAATCTCTTTTTGAATAGTTGACGGAAAAAAAACAAGAGCTATAAAATCAGAATTTTTCATTGTTAAACAAAAGTTTTTGGTTCATTTTGTATAATAATCAAAATAAGTCACGACTTTCATCAATGAATTTTATAAATAACAAGCACGAGATATCTATTTTGGCAATTTTATCACACGATTCATCAGAAAGAAAACATCCCATCATCAAATTGAATAATTCTACGATCATCTTCTAGTTAAATAAAATTTTCAGTCATTACACTGGATCTATAGAAGTATCATTCATTGTCTTGTAAATAACGATGCAATCGTATGAAACATTGATTGTAAAGTATATTCCAACTTAATAAGAACAATTGCATATGTTATCTATTGGATCAATATGGAACCTTGATATTCATAACTCTGAAGAGTTTCATCAGAGTCTCAAATGATTAATTTAGTATTTGATATTCTGTTCGAACTAACAGCTTCACAAATGTGTTCTTGACCTAATCATACAGAGAAACATATGCTAAGATAATAAGGTTTCTCATATCAAAAACACACGCATATTTTTGCACTGTTAAAATATTTATTTATCAAAAAACGTTCATGTATTAAATGATAGATAAAGAACATAAATCTAATTAGATATTGAAAAGATTATATTTCATCTTCGTCATTCTTAATGTTTAGATATCTGATGGATAGAAGAGAAGCAATGAAAGCGTTGAAAGAATAAAGATCGATTACATATCATAGAACTTAAATATCAATGCCGCTGGTCTATTACTATCATTATGACTGCTGAAGAATGACGTCCTCTCTTGTTTAGGCATAATATTCATTTCAGTATTGTCCTTGCACTGTATAGCCCTTTTATTCTTAGACATCCTTTGATTAATTGGCTGTTATGATATAGTAATATGAATCATACACGTACAACAACTGATTCTTTTCTTTCTTTCGTTCTTTCCTTCGTTTCTACCTACAGTGTAAAACAACCAATTTATCTGTTATTTTAATTCTATTTCAAATCGATTGACATTTATTCTAGAAACATGATATTTGTCAATGAGTTTTACTTGTCATCTTTTTTTATTTTTTTTTTACGTTTGATTTTTATTGAAACTACTAAAATAGTACTGAACAATACAATGATTAATTCGAGTTCTATTATCAATATGACATTCAATGAAAATGTAACAACTACAAGAATTTCATTCATTCAAGAACAAAAACTTATTAGTAAAAACTTTAGTAAAATCGAGCAAAGTACATTAACATGGAGTACTATTGCACTTGCTTGTATTACTTGTCTTATTTTCATCTATATTGGAATAAAAACTTTTACGTAAGTGAATTCTCAAGTATAAATTATTAATTTTTTATTGGATAAAAAAGAAAAAAAGAATTTTGATTCTTATTCTAGCATACATAAAAAACGTCAAATAAGAAGATATAAGCTACTCAATAGTAGTACTACAATAGAAGAACCTCTCTTCAATGGACATGATAATGACGAAGAAGAAAATGACGATGGCACATTGCTCGTTCGCAAATAAATGAATCAAACAGAACAGTAGTTTTCCTAGTTTCTTTTTTTTTCTTCTCTTCTCGTTCTCTCTTTTTTCTCTAGTTCTATCTCTATATTATTCTCATTCTGCTGTCATTTTTCTTTTAAGATGCACACACGAATTATTATTATTATTATTATTATTATTTTTGGTTTTTTCTTTTGTTTTAATGAGTATTTCATTTTCTGATTTAATAAACAGATATTTTCAGTAATCAGTTTAATGATAATTTGTATACAAACTTTTCCAGTCTGTTTCGTAAAACATTATGTTTTGTTCTTTTTCTTTTGTACTAATGATTGGGTAATTTAACCAGTTAAACAAGCGTAAGGTATGAAATAAGATAAGTACAATGAAGACAACAAATGAATATATAAGTATATTCATTTTTTTCTTCGACTTCTATAGAACATTATTTTCATTTATATGTCATGTATGATTTAATGTTTTCAAATAAAGAATAACTTGTTGTCAAATAATTCAATAGCATCATACTTGAAGAAGATACTTTATTAGACATGATATGATTATTATAGACATCCAATGAAAAAGCAAAAGAAAATTCAGTAAGATAAAAGGTCCATTATTGAACGTTTTCATCCGATAGGAAATTGTGTTTTGAGGCGTAAGATTATGCCTGAGTGATGTTGCGCAAACATCTTTTTTGCCTTTATTTGTTTATACATTTAATGTATCTATATCCATATCTACTATTCTTTGTTCTAGACATATCTGTTTCATATAAACAATGACTTCAAATACAAAGGAAGACCTTACTGAAGTTGTTATTTTATCAGCTATACGAACGCCTATTGGTGCATTAAAAGGATGTTTATCAGTTCTGAAAGCTCATCAACTTGGTGCAGTAGCAATCAAAGGTGCATTGGCTAAACTAAATGGCACAATATTACCAGATGAAATAAATGAAGTTATTATGGGTCAAGTATTGACAGCTAATGAAGGTCAAAATCCAGCACGACAAGCAGCACGTAATGGTGGCTTACCATATCTGATACCGGCAACCACAGTTAATATGGCTTGTGGTTCAGGCTTGAAAGCAATCATTCTTGGTGCTCAAGCTATTCGTACAGGTGATGATCATATAGTAATTGCTGGTGGACAAGAAAGTATGAGTCAAGCACCACATTGTGTCTCAATGAGATATACAAAGAAAATGGGTGATACTACTCTTATTGATTCAATGGTGCATGATGGGTAAAACAAATTATTCATCCATGAAAATTTTTATCATTAATTTCTTTCAGACTTATAGATGCATTCAATCATATTCATATGGGTATTATAGGTAAATAAAGATGATTATAAATAATTTTATAGTTTGATAGTTATCTGATAGCCGAAAATATTGCGGAAGCACGTAGTGTTACACGACAAGAACAAGACGAATTTGCTTTACAATCTCAACTTAAATATGAACGAGCAACATCATTAGGACATTTCGATACGGAAATCGAACCAATTATCATATCCACTCTGAAAAGTATATCAATTGTTTTTTTGTGAAAATAAATTTTCATCTTTTGTTATTCTCTAAGACGATGTTGAAATAAGATATGATGAATGTCTACGAAGAGGAATGTCCATAGAAACCATGTCAAAGATGAAGACAGTGTTCAAAGAAGGTAAATATCTGATGTTCAATGTAATTAAATATCTATTCTACTTTTCTTTTCCCAGCTGGAACGGTAACTGCAGGCAATTCATCAGGTTTCTTTCGACTTCTTTTGTTATTTAATCATCCAGATTGTTTGTCTTTTTTTTCTTCATTCATGTTGAATAGATCATAATGATGGAGCTGCTGCTGTAATTCTTTGTTCAAATCGTATTGCTAAATTAAAACAACAAATTCCTTTAGCAAGAATTGTCTCATGGGCACAAACAGGCACTGATCCACTTATTATGGTAAATATCATTTCGTTTATTAAAAAAACAAAAACTTATTTTTTGTTTTGATTAGGGTTTAGCACCAATTAAAACTATTCAAGAAGTTTTACGTAAAGCAAATTGGTCGATTGATTCAGTTGATTTATTTGAATTGAATGAAGCCTATGCTGCTCAATCAGTAGCTGTCATTCGAGAACTTCGTATTAATCCTGAAAAAGTCTTTGATTATTTTAGAAAGATTTATTATTCAATTTTTAATTTATTTTAGGTTAATGTAAATGGTGGTGCCATTGCTCTTGGTCATCCAATTGGTGCTTCTGGTGCCCGAATTCTCGTTACATTGATTCATACACTTATACGAACAGGTTTAAAACGAGGTTGTGCTGCTTTATCTATTGGTGGTGGTATGGGCATCGCAATATGTATTGAAGCCTGTTAATATTTTATTCATTAATATATTCTTTGAAACTTTATCTAGTCATCGATATTTTTTTATATCCATACTTGTAGTCATTCTTTGAAACTTTAACGTCATATTTTTTTTCCGTAAAAGACTTTTTTTGTTGAATATTTAGTGGATTTTTTGATTATCTTGCAAGTAAAAATAATAAATCAATGGATATTTGTTAAATAATACAATATTGTTTTATTCTTTATAACAATTGTTTTCATTGTGTTTCTTTACATTGTATTTGATGAAATATTACATCGTTTTTTATTCTCTTTATGATTTCGTAATGTGATCATAGTGCAAAAAAAAATAGTTAGGACAGACGTAAATGTAGTAAATAAATATTATTTTTTTCAGTAGATTACATATTGATTAGTTTATCCTTTTTAGTCATATAAAATATGATGACTTTTCGCTCTAGAATATTTTCAAAAGTTCTATTTATTGATTAATTGTTTTCATGATTTTCTATTTATTTTTTGATGAATTACATTTGATATTTACATGTAATTTTACAAAATCTTATTAACTGATAAAAATGATAAAATGAGTGATTTATAATCATCAATGAAGGTCAGCATAGCTTTTTTTCTCGTATCTTGAAGAGCACACGTTTCTTTTTCTCATTAATATAGTTGAATGATTTAAGTGGTTCGATAAAAATCTTCATGTCAACTAAGTACACAATTTGAACAAAGTCTAATTGACATTTGTTCACTTTCTCTGACTTTCATAGTATAGTAATTATAGCACAAAATCATAATAATTTGACTACTTTCTCATCCATTATTAGTTTAAATAATTGATATTTATTTTAGATCATTGAAGTGCATTAGAAATTAGTTCTACCAGCACGTTATTTCACTCAAACCGTAATATACTCATATTTTAAATTTCAGAAAATCTTCATAGAATTAAAATGCTAACAAAGAATAATATATGTTGTTGTTGCACACTATCAGATAAGAATGGAAGAAGCTGACGACTTATTTTCATGAACATATATGAGCATTTTTCTCTAGAGGAATTGTTGATAGCATGCGCAAAGTAATGAATGGAGCATATAAATTCTATTGTTCAGATGCGTTCATTGGTAAAATAGAATTATAACGAAGATTTATACTTTATTATGAGTATTCATCATCTTTTGTTCGCTTTTTACAAGGACAATTATATAATATTCAATGAAAATAATTCTTCGAAATATTTATATTGTTAGTTATGCTTATCATTAATACGAAAATACAGTGTGGATGTATTCATTTTTAACGTTTCATGTCCAATTCATAACCTAATTTTCATTGAATTTGATCAATTAAATAATATCTTGCAATGAAAAACATCATGATTGTAAGGATCGAAAAAAAAACATAGATACGATGACTGAGTAGGGTATGCAAAAAAGGAAACATAGATGGTAATTTTTCTATCATTCAAATATATGTTTCGATCCACTTAGTACTGGTTATTTGAACAAATCATACATCTAACATAATTGCTAATCAATTCAATGATTTTATTCACTCTCTTATCGTGCTTTTATTCTATACATTTAATTTCCTCAATTAGCATACATTTAAACAATAGTTAAATCTCAATCAAAGATAATATGTTATGAATTTGTTACCATCATATCAAGAAAGAGAAAAATAAGTATAGATAAAACAATAAAATATTTTACTTAGCTAATGCTATATATTACATTTAGGGCATGTTTTCTCACACGAGAATTCTATTTTTATTTAAGCCTAGTATATACAAAAATATGGAAATTAATACAATGTCATAGTAATGAAACCTTAACGGAGAATTTTCATTCATGTATGCTTTTAGTACTACTAATGTTCTATATTTATCTACTATATGATCATTATTATACTAATATTATGATATAAATAATTCAGATAGAAGTTATACACTCCTAATATCAGCTGAATCGGAAAGTCTTTGTTTTCATATTCAAGTACATATTGCATTTCATCTAAAAAGGAAAATCAATTCATAATGAATCATACTCTATGTATGGAGATGTGTTTTATCTGATATGTAATCGAGATATTATTTTCAAATGTCGATTAAGTTTGTTGCTTTATGGATGATGATGATTATTATTATTTTAAAATTGACAAAATAAAATTAGTGATATCATTCAATGAATCAGTCTTGATTATCGACAGTTAAGAAAAAAACATTATTATTCGTTGAATATGCAACAAATTATCAGATGTTCGAAGTGTTAAGTAAGTCAGAACAAGATAAGAAGATTTAGCGAAATTAGAACAAAGAATACGGCGGTTATGTGGTGTAGTGACAGGCAATGAGTGATGTTTTTATCATAAAGAAACTGGTTGTAAGCCATTGAATGTTATCGACAATTAAGCTTAGAAAATGCACTCACGATACCTCGACTATGCAGCTGGATATACAACAATTGCTCGAAAGATCAGAAGTCTCAATGCTCAAAATTAAAATTAAAATTATCAAAGTAATTTTTGTTATTATTAGAGAAAAATAATTGAAACAGAAGCCAATAAGACAACTAATAATATATTCAAGGACAAGGAATATTAGATATAAATATAAATACGAATATTTTTGTACACTTCATCTTCCCAGCTGATTATTACGTCTATAATTCTTTTTTGAGAACACAATAATTGTTCAAATTTCAGACAACTTTTTACATGAATATCAAGACGACAATACAATAGTCAGTGAACGAAAAGTAATGGAAAAAAATTTTGAGTTTTTCTTAAATTGTTTTGAATAAATCTTTTTTTTCTTCAATAAAAGTTGCTACAGTAATTTCATGTTCATAATGCACTGTCAGGTGATTAAATACTCAAGCTTCTATATGTCATGCTTTTGAGAAAAGTTAAATTCAAGTAACAAAGATTTTGCTGCTGAAATATCTACTATTGGGCGAGGAAGATAAAATAGACTTATTTCAAAATTTTATTGTTTCCCTTGAAAAAAACCTGACCTTACGCTACCCATGATTCCATGAGGTACATTTTCATTTTATACATGCTACTGTCATTCTCATATTGTACAGTGCGTGATTAAAACACATGTGTGTTGAAAATGAAAAAGAATCAAGTTTCTATCAAACATGTGATCAATGGTAGTTTTTCCTAAGCGGCTGTGCTTTGAACACTTTATTCTCTGTATCATTTGTGATTCAACGGGTTCTATATTTATCCATCGCCTGAAATGAAGATAAACTATCGATGACTATTTCGACATCAATAAACATTTACAACTCATTGCCAAAATACGAGAAAGTTGAAATCAGGATCTAGTACACATACTACCAAACTTTATATTCATAAAATTGATTAGAATTATTTCAAATCAAAAGATATGGCAATTATATGATAATCATCAGATTCTTCAAAGTTGACAAAATGTTATTTTTGGATATGTGATCTGGTCAAACAAATTTTGACCCAGTAGCACAACTAAGAAAGTTTGCACTATGATCTAGCTAATATACTTAGTTTATTGAATTACGATGACTCTAAAAAACTTTTAATAGAGAACTAGAAGAAACAGAATCATGTATAAATAATCAAGGGAACTAAATCGAATGATTGATAAAATAAATCCTTCGAAAACATGTTTCAAGATTTTGTTTTGCTTCTAAATCTTATTTCTTTTGATATGTCCTAAGTATGAACATATTTCTAGAGTCTTACATTACATTGTTTGTTTTGACATGTTAAACCTCAACAAATTTTATAATATTTGCGTATTTCTTCAAATAAACTTCAACTTTATCCAGTTGCATTTCAAATTTATGCAGTCAGTGATAAGTTCTGATTTAAAATTTTTTAATCGTTCTGCAGTCTATTTAACTATTTTTTTTT